CCAGAGTGAGATCCTGGCTTTCACGACTTTTAGGCCCGGCCCCGAATTGAAAGAGAAGATTGACGCCAGTTGGAATAACTGGAGATGGGGCTGGACTGAGGTAGCAGCTGGAAGATGGCACGTCCGGCGCAGGGAGGGCGGCGTCCCGAGTGTGAGTCAGGGAATGTGTAAAAGCATCTTAAGTCAGGGCACGTCTGACTAGGCCGTGAAGTTGATTGGCCAGTTGGAAAGCCGAGTGGACGAACGCCAGGCAGCCCTGGTGCGCGCGTGCTAGACACTCGCGAGGGACCCAGCGTTACGATAGGCGCTCCGAGTAGATCTACTAAATGTGAACTGGGTAAGATGTGGGTATGTAGTCCCACCTGATGGACACAAGACCGTTGGGGTTGCGGTTATGGTTAGGGTTAGGAGTTAGGGTCAGGGGTTAGAGGTTAGGGCACCTATTTCTCAGCTCCTCGAAGTACAACCGCGCATTCCCAATAGCTTCTCTTTTGCATCCAACTACTTGACCTTGTCGCTCGTGCGTTCCCCGGCCCTACCAGTAAAAACATATATTACCCCTGGTCCCGTATTACAGGTGGCTGGGGTTTGTTTACCTCGGGTGGGGCTACATAACCACATCTGACCGCGGACTGTACTACATCGCCCGTGCACATTTCCTGAATGCAGCTAAAAGGTCTTTTGGGGGAATTTGAGAATTACGGTGGACTAAGCTTCAATCTGTCCAAATTTCAACCGCACCATTGGACCACGTGTCGGTCCAGTCGGCCACTTGTGAATCCACCGCACTGCGACCTACAAGGCAGTACCCATTACCCCCGACATGCATCCTTCACTCACGTCTCACCTGCCCACACTGATCCAGAACATTTGGCTACACGCGCACCCATATTACTCTTCTGTAAAATGAACTGTCCAGACCGCACGACAATAATTTGCACTACATCCACACATTAACGTCCTTAGACTCGCAGGAATCTGCTCATACCGCACGCATAGGCGACATCCAAAAACAGTAAGTTTTCAAAGTATTGCGGCAGCGTTGGTGTGGTGAACAAGGCGTTGTATGTGAGAATGTGCACATCTCACTTACGTGGAAGCATGACAGCTGATGTCGTCTGGTACATGGAGCGGGGACTGGGTCATGTGTGGCACGCGTAGACGGAGTGGTCAGATTTGTCAAACACTGTGCCCTTGCCCACCCTCGGCCATATTGACCTTCTCATGCCATCGGAACACGGTGGTTGTGGGAGGAGAGAGCGGGGGAGGTACAACGTAAGCCCACCTCACTATAAAACAGTTCACGTTCAAGTCACCGCTGATGGTCACACTCCGCAGGGCAAAGCCGAAACTCATCGAAAGAGACGATCAAACTTTCAGTAGTGTTCGTCATGGCAGCAGCAGCAGCAGCAGCAGCAGCAGCAGCAGCAGTAGTAGTAGTAGTAGTGAACTGTGCAATGATTTACCGTACTAACAACACAGGTATTAGCTAAAAGCCTAGACACGCGTGTTTCGCCGATCTTATGCCGCTGCCTGACGCAGCTGCGAGAGGTTCCGCTCGGCAGTGGGTCCCCCAGCTTTCCCCGTGTGTTTTCTAGTAGTAGTAGTAGTAGTAGTAGTAGTAGTAGTAGTAGTAGTAGTAGTAGTAGTAGTAGTAGTAGTAGTAGTAGTAGTAGTAGTAGTAGTAGTAGTAGCAGCAGCAGCAGCAGCAGCAGCAGCAGCAGCAGCAGCAGCAGCAGCAGTATCCACGGCAGCGAAATTTACCGCAATCTCGACACGCCAAGGACAATTTGTACACCCGACAACTCTCCAATCTTCAGTCCCATCAGCTCCCCCTTCGCCAATTCGACGAACGCTAGTAGCATCACAACCGCACCGACTCCGCAGCTCCAACCGCACATGGACGTCGCACGTAGGCCTGGTCGGTCACTTGTGAATCTGTGGCACAGAGACCGGTGGGCCAGTGTCTGGAGCCCGAAAATACCCCCACTGCACCCGTCCCAACCACTCATACGACATATGCGCATTCAGTCACAGCATGGATCTACTCGGCCACATGCGTGTCCGTGAAAACCTGCGGCAAAACACTGCCTGTCAAATCACATCACCATATATCTCCTCGCCCGCACATACGGCATACACGAACCTGTCCCTCGTCAGTCACTACCAGCATGGAGTCGGTGTCTTTTTGGCAAACGGGAATCGTAAGAATCATGAGGCCCTTCTGCTACTCCAACGAGTGTGAAATCTGAGCACTCTGACCCTTTTCTGTGGAATCTGGTGTTCTGAGCTGCGGTAGATCGTGTGTGTGGCACGTACAGGCGAGCTGTTCTTATCCCCGATCAAGACGACTTACCGGCTCGGAGGGCAGACTGATGTCTCGAAGAAGAGAGAGTAGGGTGAGGGGAGCAGCAGTGAGGCGGGGAGACGCTAACTCTCAGGTGGCGGCACACTCGACGGGACCCGGCCATATTTTCAAATTTCAAGTGGCCGAAATCCTCGCAAGGGGTGACAACCGCGTGAGCCGCGAGCTGCTCGAGTCATGGTTCTCAGGCCCGCAATCCATCAACAAACACAATGACCTCCCGGTGCCCTATTCCGTATTGCGATTTTCCCTGGGCGGGAGAATCAGTCACGTGGGGAGGGCGCGGGTGAGCAATTATCACGGTGACAGTGAGCCAGTTTGCCGAGCAATCGTCACACCAGCATCGAGCACGGATGACGAAATCGCGGCCATTAACAACTCGGACTCGG